CTCAATCAGTTGATTCAGACTCATAGTAGAAGATTGGAGTATAGCAATGAGAGAATTTAAAGAAATGACAAACCTGACCAACTTGGTCATGGAAAAAGATGACAAAAATATTTCGAAAAGACTGGAAGCCTAATATGAACATTTTGTGGAAAGAAGAAAAGACTGAATGGGTGATTTATGGCTATGGGGATTAAAAGGGTCAAAGAGGGAAGATAAAGAGTAAGATGGCAATTGCCCTAAAGAAAAAGAGCAGAAATCATAATTCCTTCCTTTTCTTATTTTTATATTATTTTGGGGAGTTTTATTGTATTGAATGTATGTATGTGTATGTATGTCTATAAATACAGATATTGAAAACTGCTATTGAAACATAACAATAGTTGCCACAATAACAATAATAACTTGATGTATTCATATATTTCTATTGGATTAAGTTAATTCCATATGGAAGAAACCAGCTTGGAAAGCTTAGAGGAAACAAAATAAATTGATTTGGAGATTCCATATTTCTGTCAGATTGGTTTATTCTCATAGATCTACCATCTACTTAAATTCTGAACTTGGGAAATACATTTTTATTTATTCATCACATTTTTATATCAACCATCTCAACTAAATAATTCTGAGAGATTTACAATAAAAAGATATTGTATGTACAAGCTTTAACAAGGTTAAAAGCAGAATTTAATGTTAGGGTTAAATATACAAAGTTAAATTTTTAAAAAATGGGAACAATGTAATTAGGATGAGATAAGTCCTCAGGTAACTTGGTCCTATGCCATGTAGGGCTTTGAAGGTGATAGCCAACACCTTGAATTGGACCCAGAAGCAAACTGAAGCCAATGAAGCTTGGTAGCAGAGGTGTTAAATGGGACTGTTCACGCCACCACATTCTGCACCAATTTCAGCATCCAGATGCTATTCAAAGGTAGTTCCATGTAGAGCACATTGCAATAGTCCATAAAGAAGATGCAGATGGTATGAGTGACTGAAAGAAGGGCTTGCCGATCCAGAAAAGAGCATAACTGGCACACAAGCCAAGTTAAACAAATGCCCTCCTAGCCATGACTGCCACCACTCAAATGCCTTTCGGTCAATAGATTCTGGATGTTATAATGCCGTTCTGTATTTTTAATTACTATTTTATGCAATGATAATGCAATAACACTTGTATAAAAATTGAATGCTGGTTGCATTTACGCAGAGCTTTTGAGGAAAAGAGATCATGCACATACACAAAGGGGTTTTTAAAGTACATTCATTCCATTTCCTTATTTAAATATTCAATCAATATTTCACCAAAGGGGATGAAAGAGTTTTAATTTTAGAATACCTTTTATTTCTAGAAAAATAGTTTAGGGAGTGCTATCTATTGCTTTATGTGCCCACAGAACAATTTCTGAAGCAGTTAATAATTTTCCTATTCTCTGATATGCCACAACAATATCATCGATCCCCAAACTCATTATATTTGTGGAAGAATTTCCAAACCATTTAGACCTATTCATGAGTTAGAAAAATCAACAGTTCTTTCTTTAAGACAAGGTTACAGCTGTACCTGATCTCCCTTCAGGGGATTAGTGCTGTTTACACAGCCACATCTTCCACACAAATGCCAGGCAATTCAAGAGGAAAATGATGGCTTTTGCACTTTGCCAAGTGGGAAATCATCATGCTAATTGATTGATTGTTTGATATTTATATTTGGCATTTTTATATCCTGCCTGAATCTAATCTGATAGAATCAAAAATGATATTACAGTCAAATGTTAAGTAGCCACACATTTCTAAAGAAAATGGCAAATACAAATTAATACAACAGTGTCAAATTATGCTAAAAAGTAAGAAACAACAACATTTGCAGATGCTTTTGAAAAGTCAGTTGTACAAGGAAAAACTTTCTGACGGTGAGAACAATCAACCAATGGCACAGCTTGCCCTCGGAAGTTGTGGGAGCGCCATCACTTGAGACTTTCAAGAAGAGATTGGACTGCCATTTGTCAGAAATGGGGTAGGGTCTCCTGCTTGGGCAGGGGGGTTGGACTAGATGACCTACAAGGTCCCTTCCAAATCTGATTTTCTGTATCTGTAAGGAACTGAATGACTGGTAGCAAAAAGCAAAAAAAAAAAACCAAACTGAAACTAAAACCCTACAGATCATTAAATGGCTAGATCCAATAAATTCCATTATGAACCCCTTGTTCATCCAGATCTTCAGAAAGTCTGTGCAGCATATCTGCACCCATTGAAGTGAGAGAATGGATTGGGCTTCTTACTAGAAAAGATTAGACAATGATTTGTCAGAAATGATGTAGGGTTTCCTGCTTGAGCAAGGAGTTGAACTAGAAGACCTCCAAGGTCCCTTTCAATTTTGTTATTCTGTTAGTGCAAGGGTCTTCAAACTTGGCAAATTTAAGACTTGTGGACTTCAACTCCCAGAATTCCTGAGCTAACATGACTGAAGGAGGAGTTTTGGGAGTTCAAGTCCACAAGTCTTAAAACTGTCAAGTTTGAAGACCCCTGTGTTAGTGGAAGAACTTCCAGTGCACCATTTTCTTCCAGAAGTTCTATGAAAACAAGAGCTGAAGAGCTAAAGAGCTGAAAAGCTTTATGGTTGCTGCAGTGGTGGGATTCAATTTTTTTTTATTACCGGTTCTGTGGGCATGGCTTGGTGGGCCTGGCAGGGGAAGGATACTGTAAAATCTCCACTCAGAAGTGGTATTTTCCAGTTCTCCGAACTACTCAAAATTTCTGCTACCGGTTCTCCAGAACTGGTCAGAACCTGCTGAATACCACTTCTGGGTTGCTGAGGTGGTGGACCTAAGGAGACAACTGTATTGGAGTGGGGTGGGGTGCGGAGATGATGGTCAAACAAATCAAAAGCATATCAAAAAGAAGCTAGGTTATGATTGGCTTGACTTTTTGAACCTGTGTGGAAGACCCTAGCTTGGTGTACAACACTACCTACAATACCAGCAGAAATTTCTTTTTTAAAGCTGTTGTCCCAGCCTCTCAAGATTAAGCCACGTTACCATAACACATTCCAGGAACATTTTCAGATGATGGATCATTTAAACTATTATATGTATCACAAGCCATGGAAAGTACCTAAGAACCCCTCCATAATGTTTCCACTTACACACCTGTTCATAGGGAGCTCAATACCACCTAATAATTCATCATTTCCTTCTCTTGCCAGTTTTACTTCTGACCAGAAGTATCTCTGCAACAGACATTCTTAACAGAGAAGAAATGCAAAACTTGCAAAATGGGATCTACTTCCAGCCTTGGTGTTACTGAGGTCAACTGCTTCTCTCCACACACCTCTGAAACCCCACTATGAATACAAAGGCTAGAATAGAATGTACACACCTCCATTCATTTCTTCAGCATACAAAAATCTAAATGTCTAATATGAAATATTTTGGGGTTAGAGAAGCCACATGGAATGCAAAGGGTGCAGGTATTGTAGAACACAAGTAATCTCTGTGCAGCTTTATTTATATTAGCTCACATGCATCCTGTTATTATAGGAGAAAACGTTAAAGCTTTGTGATGGTAAACTGATGTTTCACTCTGGATCTCCTCTCTCAGAAAAGGGAATGACTATCACTGATGTTCATGTTTGGTCCAGTAACCCATGAGTTCTAATATTGCCTCAAGCATGAAAGCTAGCTGGGTGACCTTGGGCCAATCTCTCTCTCTCTCTCTCTCTCAGCCCAACCCACCTCACAGGACTGTTGTTATGAGGAAAATAGGAGGAGGTGAAAGGATTAGCTAACTTTGCCACCTTAAGTTGCAGTATTTATGAAAAATAAAGGTGGGGAAATAAATACATGCTCTATCCTTGATCCAAACCTTAGGCCCAGATCTAGCCACCATCAACAGGAATAAGTAATTGGGTCTATCAAGCTCTTCAATCTTTTGTCATCAGTGTAACTGTTGTAGAGCGGCGGAGATACGAGGCTGAGCCAGAGCGAACGTTTTAAAAGGCTTTATTGTTCTGAATAAAGGGTTGCCACGTCTGCCAGGCTAACTCGGCAGATTAGCTGGCGGCAACAACTGATACCGTTTGACAGCTCCCTTTTATAGCCGGCTGTCAAACGGTATCAGCCAATGGGAGCGGTCGGCGCTCCCGCTCGAACAGCGGACCTGGTTGGGAACTCCAACCAGTCCTATAGACACAACATTCCTTTCCCCCGGCCAGGAGCATGCGTAGTCCTGCAAATAGGCCGGTCGTCTGCGATGGCGGCAGGATCGCCGAAGTCCAGGCAAGCTGCTGGCTGGAACAAAGTCCTTGGCTCCGGGGAGCGTCTCGGAGGCTGTTGGCAAGTGGGCTCGGCCGGTGAGGTCCTTCTGCGGATCTGGTAAGCCTCCCCATTCGGTTTGTCTTTGGCGCGTCGTTCGGCCGGGGCGGTAGACCGGCTCGCTTAGTTGAGAGTTCGGAGTCCTTTGCCGGTAGATCGGGCCCGGTTGGGAGTGCTCAGTGTCTCTTGAGTTGCTCGGGGCCTTCAGGGAGCGTTCGGCGTTGGCTGGGTAGACCAGGCCCTGCAGGGAGCTCTCGTCGTCGGCGAGGTAGATCGGGTCCTGCAGGGAACTCTTGGCTTGGTAGACTGGGTCCTGCAGGGAGATCTCATCGGCGAGATAGATCGGGTCCTGCAGGGAACTCTTGGCTTGGTAGACCGGGTCCTGCAGGGAGCCTTTGGTGCTGGATGGCTGGGCTGAGTAGATCGGTCCCTTGGTGGTTGCTGGGCAGGCTGGATCACCGGCGTTTGCTGGGTAGGTCGGGTCGCTTGGTTGGTTGTGGGAGCCATCAGCTGTGCCTCTCCACCGCCTCCTCAGTTGGTCCACGTGCCTGCGCCACAGGCGTCCGTCTTCCAGGAGGACTCTGTAGGATCTTGGCCCTGCAACTGACACAACCTGTCCAGGTACCCACAGAGGGTCCCCTGCATAATTCCTGGCGTAAACCAGGTCATGCAGGGCAAAGTTCCTGACCATACTGTTGGATCCTATAGGGGTATCTGGGCAGTAATGGGGGTGTAGCCTGTCCAGGGTGGTCCTAAGGCGTCTCCCCATTAAAAGTTCTGCAGGAGATTTGTTTGTAGTGGTGCATGGGGTCATATGTTGGCTCAGAAGGTAACGGGACAGCTTGGAGTGCCAGTTTTCCTGGCCAAATCTAGCAAGTGCCTCCTTTACTGACCTGACTGCCCTTTCAGCCATCCCGTTGCTAGCTGGGTGAAAAGGGGCTGTGAGGATGTGTCTGATACCTAAGTTGGCAACGTACATACTAAACTCACAAGATGTGAACTGGGGGCCATTGTCAGACACCAGTGTGTCAGGGAGCCCATGGGTAACAAACAAACGGATTAGAGCCTTAACAATTGCTTGGGTGGTTGTTGAAGGTAGTAGGGCCAAGTCTATCCATTTGGAATATGAGTCTACTAAAACCAAGAAGGTCCTTCCATGTACTGGTCCAGCCAGGTCGATGTGCAGGCGAGACCAAGGTCCCCCAGCACTTTCCCACCTGGTAGGAGTGGCTGCTGGTGGTGCAGGCCTGGTTGATTGGCAAGGTTGGCACGAGCTTACCCAGCTGGTGATCTGGGGATCCATGCCTGGCCACCAAACGTAGCTGCGGGCCAGGGCCTTCATCCTTACAATGCCCGGGTGGCCCTCGTGAAGGACCTTTAGGATGGGTACACGGAGAGTGGCTGGGATGACCACCCTTGTCCCCCACAATAGACAACCCTGTAGGTTTGACAATTCTTGCTTGCGTATTTTGAAAGGAGTGAAGTCAGGAGTGCATTGTGCTTCCGGCCACCCCCTTCCCACCCAGTCCAGAACCTGGGCAATTACCCTGTCTTTTTTTGAGTGCGATGCAATGTCCTCAGCTGTAACAGGCAGTTTAAGTTCATTTACTTCAAAAATGGCATGAATGGGTGCTGGGTCTTCGACTGGAACTGGCAGGGGGCAGCGACTAAGGGCATCTGCATGACTTAAGTTTTTTCCAGGGCGATGTACTAATTTAAATGAGTAAGCAGCCAGGAACAAGGTCCACCTGGTCATCCTAGGTGAAAGGACCTGTGGGGTTTGCTTGTCCCCTGACAAAAGCCCCAGGAGTGGTTTATGGTCAGTTATGAGTTCAAAGTGGTGCCCAAATAAAAATTCATGAAACTTTTTTACTGCAGCTACTGCAGCCAGGGCCTCCTTATCTATTTGGCTGTAGTTTCTTTCTGCAGCAGAGAAAGTCCTAGAGAAGAAGGCAATTGGTGCCTCAGAACCATTTGGGAGCCTGTGGCTTAGAACTGCCCCAATACCAAAGGGTGATGCATCAGCATCCAGGACCAGGGGGAGTTGTTGATTAAATTGGATTAAAACTGCATCAGATGTAAGTAAGGATTTGACTGACTTGAAAGCGTGGGTTTCCCTGGGTCCCCAGTGCCAGGGGGATTCTTTGTCTAATAGTCTGTGTAAGGGCTCTGCAACGGATGCTTTATGAGGAAGAAATGAAGCGTAAAAGTTCAATAGCCCCAGGAAGGCTTGGAGCTCCGTCTTGTTGGTTGGTGTGGGTGCCTCGTGGATAGCCCTTACTTTGGATTCAATTGGGTGAATGCCAGAGGCATCAATCCTATACCCCAGAAAGTCCACTTGCTTAGTGGCGATGGTGCATTTCTCCCTTTTGAGTTTGAGGCCATGCTGCCTGAACCTGTCTAGGACTGCTCTGACCCTTTGTATGAGTTGAGATCTGTTAACTGCTGAAACTAAAATGTCATCGAAGTAAGGGACAACCCCTGGGAGGCCTTGGAGAATCCTTTCCATGAGGGACTGGAAAATACCTGGGGCTACACTCACGCCAAATTGGAGGCGTTTGCACTTGAATGCCCCCCTATGAGTGACTATGGTTTGTAGCTCAGCTGTGTGATCATCAACAGGGAACTGTTGGTATGCCTGGGACATATCTAATTTGGCAAAGATGGTGCCGGGTTCGAAAGTGTGTAATAGATGTTGGATAACAGGGACAGGGTATGCGCTGACCTGCAGATAACGATTGAGGGTGGTCTTGTAGTCAGCGCAGATTCTCACGCTGCCATCTTTCTTGAGTGGGGTGACTATGGGGGTCTCCCATTTGGCAAAATCAGTTGGCTCCAACACCCCTTGTTCCAGTAACTTATCTAATTCTAAATCTAACTTTGGACGGATGGCGAAGGGCACTCTGCACGGCTTGAGGCGAAGGGGAATAGCCTGGGGGTCCACAGTGAAGGAGATGGGGGTGCCAGAATAGCAGCCCAACTCATTGCTAAAAACATCAGAATAGTCTGTGAATAGGGTGTCTACTTCAGAGGTTGAGACAGCATGGATTCCAGTTATGCTAAGGCCGAGAGAAGGGAACCAATCTAGTCCCAACAGACTGGGGAGGGCACCATTAAAAACCACCAAAGGCAAATGGCCTTTAAACCCTTGGAACTGAACTAAAAACTTGCCTTTCCCGAGGACAGGGATGTTCTTGCCCTGGTAGTCCCGCAGGGTCAGGTGGCATTTCTGCAGCTTCTTTTTTGAAAGTCTGGGGTGAATCTTCTTCAGGGTCTCCCAGGAGATGATTGAAAGTGCAGATCCCATGTCCACCTCCATTCTGCAAGGCTTACCTTCTAAGAAAACAAAAATACTTATTTTGTTAGAAGTCTTGGAAGTGTGGTCTGCGTGGTAGCAAGTATAGCAGTCTTCCACTTGCCTTTGGAAATTAGGAGTAGGTTGAGGTCTCTGCGGGAAGGTTGCCCTGCTTGGCAGATTCTAGCTAGGTGGCCTTTCTTCTGACAGTTTAGACAAATGGCATTCCTGAACCTGCAGGATGCTCTAGGGTGGGAACCCCCACAGCCCAGGCAAATGGGAGGTTGCTTGGGGGTGAAGTTGTTTCTTTGCCCTGCTCCTTCCTGAGAGGGCTTTTGTTGCCTAAGGCGGTTAATGTCTGTTGTGCCTATGGGGTCTTCTTCAAGGGAAACTTCCTCTGAGTGAATAGTGGAGCTGCTAGGTCTGATAGGAGTTCCTTGAATCTCAGCTGCTGATTGGGCAGAGAGCTCAGCAGCTTGGGCTTCTTCTATAGCTAAGGCTAGGGTTAAGTCTTTTTTGGCTAGTAAGCGTCTTTGAAGCCTAAGGTCCCTAACCCCACAGACAATCTGGTCTAACAGCATGTCTTCTAGGTAGTCTCTGAACCCACACTGTAAGGCAGCTGACCTCAGAGCTGCCATATGCTCACTAATTGACTCCCCCTCAGCCTGCCTTCTAGTTCTGAAGGCATGCCTCCTAGCTATCTGTGAGGGTTTAGGTGAGTAGTGATTGGAAAGAATCTCTTGGAGCTCTTCCCAAGGGATGTTCCTGACAGAGCGAGGGGCAACTAGTGCTGTAGCGGTGTCAAAAACCGCAGCCCCACAGTAACTGAGGAAGAAGGATTTTTTCCTATGCTCAGCAGCGTCTGTTAGATCGATAGCGTCGAGGAAGTAGATGAACCGGTTTTTGTATGACTCCCACGTTTCTTCGGCTGGCTTGAAGGGTGGGAATGTTGGGTTGGTGTTCATCTTGAGTGCCTGTCACCTCAGCTGCGGTGGCTTCGAAAATCGCGCTCTTAGAAGAGCGTTTTGCGGCTGCGCCTGTCAGGTGGCGTCTGTCTCCTCGGCTGAGGAAGCTTTAAATTTCGCACTCTTGGTGAGCGCCGGCGGCTGCGGCTTCAGCGCCCGGTGGCTTCGCTCTTTTTCGGTGACCAGCTCTTCGGATCGGACGTCTGGTAGCCTCTTATAGCATCCCGCCCTCGTCGCCAGTGTTGTAGAGCGGCGGAGATACGAGGCTGAGCCAGGGCGAACGTTTTAAAAGGCTTTATTCTTCTGAATAAAGGGTTGCCGCGTCTGCCAGGCTAACTCGGCAGATCAGCTGGCGGCAACAGCTGATACCGTTTGACAGCTCCCTTTTATAGCCAGCTGTCAAATGGTATCAGCCAATGGGAGCGGTCGGCGCTCCCGCTCGAACAGCGGACCTGGTTGGGAACTCCAACCAGTCCTATAGACACAACAGTAACTATTTCCAAAGCTTCCCCTAGCTTTTAAAAATAAAAAAATGTATATTTTATTACAGGAATGAAAAATTTTCTTCCAGCTGAAGACTACCTTTTTTTGTAATGATTTCGCTCCAAGTTTGGGATTGCAAACTTCAGACCTAGCCATGTCCTCGGAGTTCCTTTCAGCAGATAAGAACGAGATGGCAGCAGGGAGTGGTTCTTTCTTTGTTGTCACCTATTGGTTGCCCAAATATTTTCAACCCTGATCTGGTAGTCCTAATTTTGAAGAAGCAATTGAGCAGGAAAAAGGGGTGACTTAAACAAGAAAAAAAATGGTCTGATTTTCATGGTATTGGGGCACTTCTAACAAACAGCTTTAAAAAAAAAAGAACAACAATTTTGATCTATCCGTTTCAAGGGGGCTCTAAGCTTCTGGGAATGTCATAAATATTGTAGAAATATTTTAAGCTGGGTGCTTAACCAAATCCTGGTGATCATGAAGTTTGGTTTCTAGAAAAAAGAGTGAGGCCCCACTCTATACACCAAGGATAGGTCACATATTACATATAGGCTGAGAATTCCTTGCTTGGTCACTACTAAATTTCTTGCTTCAGATATGTTTAATATATTTATTTTTTCAGAAGGAAGGAAGGAAGGAAGGAAGGAAGGAAGACTCCAGGGACTGGTATCTAAATTTTCAAGAAACTCCAGTCATAGGCCTTATTCTAAAGCAGAAATGGGGGGGAGGGCTGGGGTTACAACCAAGTGTTCACAATACCCCCCCTCCCCCCCAAAGTACCAAAACAAAACAAAAAGTACCAAAGGAAGTTGAATATCTCCTGGGAGGGCAAGGAAAGGTGAAGAAAATACTCCAGTCAGCTTGTTTTTTGGTAGCCGGGGCAGTATGGCAGCCATCTGAGGCCCAGGCATAAACTACCTGTTTATTGTTACTATGGAGCATCAGCAATTTAAATTTGCCTAACAGGCCACTTATTATTAACCCTTGCTGTACTCTACCCATTTCGACTGCTTAAGAGTAAATTCCTCCATCTTTTCATCTCTTTTATTTTTGACAGCAGTGTGGTTATAACAGATGCAACCGGCAGGTTATCTCCTCTACTTTGGAGGTAGCAGAATGGATGAGATCTCCAATTCACCCTCTCCCCTTTCCATCAGGTCTGATGACCGAATTCATGTAGAAGAAGAATTTTGCACTTTTATCCAGGAAACCGGCCAGAAAAGACAACAGTATATATCGATTGAGCAAACTTGCTCTAAGTTATTACACCTTCTGAGTAATCAATTCTGCAGCGCCCAGAGTTCTTAAACAGAAAGATGCAGCCATAACTCTTAATATTCTCCCACAACATCGCTGCAGAACCAGTGTTACATTATCTGTCTTGTAAAATATCTAGGATCATGCAGCTGAAGTGCTAGCCATGTTCCAAGACAGAGACATTGCTCACAGTTCAAAGCAGAAAGCAAAAGGCAGACAGATTCAGCAGTACTACAAACAAAACAGATCTGCTTTAAGAGGTTGATTACTTCTTCCACTACTAATACACACAATCTGAGCTGTCTTTGTTAACTTTGGTGGGATGAAAGTTTTTGGAGAGGTAACTGTGTTACCTCTCAGTGTCACAATTGAATGCTAAACATATGTCAAGCTTTATTTAAAAGGCTCACTTTTTCTTTTTCTTCTAGTCCTTCTTTTAAATTCCATATATTTCTTTTCATCTTTTAACCATTGGCTTCAAACAGTAAAACAGAAACCAGTAGAGATGATCCAAGGTTTGGGGTATAATATGTGTATCAGGGTTCCAAGTAATAAATCCATTGCAAGCAAAATTCAGAGGCAATTGAATTCTTCAGATATTACTTCTATTGGAAATATAATATTGGCACATATCTGGTGAAAACCGACTCTGAAAACTCCTGCAGTTTTCACCATATTAAAGGTAAAAGGTTTTCCACTTTCTCAAACAAACAGTGACATGATCTAATCGCCATGCTGTCCAACAACTGGATGTCATCACTCCGCCTCCTTCCGACCAGGTGTGAGAATGTCCTTGGTTCCCAAGAGAAAGTATTTTGTTTTGGCTACAAAAATCCCATTATCTCAAATCCCCGCTCCCTGAACCTCAGCTCCAGTTTGGCAACACTGAAGCGGCCAAAATGGCTTTAGTAAGGCCAACTTCAGAGTTGACAGTGTGTTGTATTAAAAGATACGTCCTTATGCTTTATGTTTAGGAGGCATATGATAGGAATGGGGAACCTATGTGCCACAGCTCCCTCTGGGGCTTGTGGGAGAAAAATTTCCAACAGCCTTCACCAATGATTTTATTTATTTTCTATTTTATTTTACTGAAGGCAGCAAACATATTCAACACATCTTCCTCCTCCTATTTTCCCCACAACAACAACCCTGTGAGGTGGGTTGAACTGAGAGAGAGTCACCCAGCTGGCTTTTATGGCTAAAACAGAACTAAAACTCACAATCTCTAGAGGTCTGACCTCTAACTCTGTGAACCTGGGTGGAAGAGTTGAAATAAATCTAACTGCCAAGAGATTACCACGGCTAATGTTAGCCATTTTCTGTGCACATGAAGACAATTCATCAATAATTTTTACTACATGTAGTCTTTGTTTAGCATCCAGCAATTCAGTCATTAAGTGAAGCAGTCATTAAGGGAAACTATTACTTTATTTATAATCTGACTCAGAGTTTCTTTGCTTTACAGACCTGTGAAGGTCATAAATGTAAGGATTGGTTGTAAAGTTACTTTGTCATTACCATCATAACTATGAATGGTCACTATCAAGAATTAGCTGTATTGCCTACTCTGGAAGTTAGCTTTCCTGGAAGAATGCTATAAAAGAGGCTTGTTCCTGTTTGTTATTAACAGTGAGGAACTCCACAATAACAAATTATTAACAGTAGATCCCTAATGCAAACATGAAGCTAAGCAGGTTATCGGTCTTTAGCATAGCAACCATAGCAAGGAACCATCAGGGAACTGACATTGTTAACAATTCCAGCCAGAAGTTCCATGGGCAACACCTTTGAAACATACTCTGAAGAATGTGTGTGCTAAAGCCTGTAATATTATTTTCCATATTTATTTCTGCCTGCAGACCTAATGTAAGGAGTTCTTTGCAGCTAGCGCCTAGTAAAAATACTGTATGTACATACACACAAGTTAATAATTGCTATTTCATTTAATCCTGTTCGATTCTCAGATGCGGCCTGGACAAATCCCTGCAGTTTTCTTGGCAAGGTTTTCCTAGGAGAAAGTGATTAGTCCAAGATCACTCAGCTGATTTTATGTCTAAAGTGGGACTAGAACTCACTGTCCCTTGATTT